GGCGACGGCGGCGTGCGCCGGCTCTGCGGGGGGCTGCGGCAGCCCGGCTGCCGCCTGCGTGTCCTGCGGTGAGCGGCCTCGGTACCCCCGGGCATCCCCCCCCAGCACCCCGTGGGCATCTCCCAGGTGGCCAAACCCACAGGGAAGTACCCCAAAAGACACCCTCTGGGGTGGCAGCATCCCACTCTCCCAGGGTGAGGGGCTCGAAAGCAGGAGCACCGGTGTGGGGACTGTCACCGTGGTGGGGTGGCACCGGGGGGACCCTCGGGCTGGTTCTGAGGGTCTTTCCTGCGGGTCCCTGGCAGGCTGCGGTATTCCCGCCTCACCAGCGCCTGCTGCGAGGACCTCGCCGGCGTGCTGGGCGCCAGCCCGCGCCTGGAGGAGCTGGATTTGTCCTTCAGCGAGGGGCTGCGCGATGCCGGCGTGCGGCTGCTGTGCGAGGGGCTCCAGAACCGCGCCTGCCGGCTGCAGACGCTGCGGTAAGGTGCCGGGGGCAGTGGGCCAGCCGGTGCTCCCTCCTTCCCACCCAAAGCAGGTCACCAACCGGCCAGTCGAACCCCATGTCCACGTTTGCCTTGGTCCCGGCAGGCTGGGGAGCTGCCGGCTGACCGGTGCCTGCTGCCGAACCCTGGCCGCTCGGCTGCTGGAGAGCCCTCGTCTCACCTGCCTGGACCTGAGCGACAACGAGCTGGGAGCCGACGGCATCCTGCAGCTCTGCCAGCAGCTCCGACATCCCGCCTGCCCGCTGCAGGCCCTGGGGTAAGGTGCCTGGCACGTCCCCCTTCCATCCCCGGCATCCCAGGGTCGGATGCTCTGGGACAGGGAGGGGATGCTCTGGTACCCAGGAGAGCTGAGGGTGGGTTTTTTTAACAGCTCTTCTCCTTTTCCTCCTCTATTTAAAGACTGAGCACCTCCGGGTTAAATGAAGATGTGCTGCAGGAGCTGGCCGCCCTGCGGGCACTGAAGCCCGACCTGAAGATCAGGTACCTCCTCGAGCAGGACACGCTGCAACCGGGGGCCATGGCCCGGCTGCCCTTCAACCGTGGGGTCCTGCCGGGCACGGGGGGGCTGGGGGGCAGGAAGGCGCTCCCCTCTTGTAGGAGAGATCCTTGCAACAACCGGAGCTGTTTCTAGCCCAATTCTTGGTGCTGCTGACGCCGGTGGGGGGGAAGCCTCCCTGGGTTTGAGCCTGTCCCATGAGTGGGGGCACAGGGAGGAGGTCCTGCCTGCATCTGCTGGGGGTCGGGGCAGAGCTGGTCCAGGTTCTTCCCTCTCCCATTTCCCCACATGTGTTGGTGGGAATTGTTGTGTGGGTGTTTGCTGATGCCAAATAAAGGCCCTGGGGCCAGTCCCGGGAGTCCATGTCCCCCTCGTGCTCTTCCCTGTCCTCCCCCACCTTGTCCCCACCATGCCCGGGGACACGTCTGTGGGTCCAGCTCCTGCCCCACATCCCCGAGGGATGGCTGATGTACCTGGGAGCAAGGTGCCAGCCCTGGAAGAGAGTCTCCAGCCAGTTTTGGGTTTTAATAAGAAAAAAAAAAAAAAAAGATAAATTCACAGTGAAATAAAAAAAAAACCCAATCCCTGCGGTGCTGCTTGTGGGAGGGACACAGGAGCTGTTTTGCTGCGGTCCTGGGCAGGGAGAGGTGACCTCCACGGCCAGGGCCACCCTTTCTTGGGGACAGAGCTCCACCATCCTGCACGTGTGTCCCCAGGGACTCCCGCAGTGAGACCCAGGCATCCTCACAGCGATGTCCCCAGCGTGCTGACGCCAGCATCGTCATAGTCTGTGCTCCCCGGGGCCTGTGTCAGGGGGTCCCCTGTGGCTCCTGGGGGACTTGGCAGGGGGTAACTCCCACCTTAGGGGACAGCAAAGGCCGGTGCCTTTGGGGGGCAGTTCTGCATCATGTCCCTCCTGCCAGACCCTGGCTGGGGTCTTGCCGCAGCCCCCATGGATTTGCTGCCTGCTCCCTGCCAGCCACCGCAGCCGAGCCCCCCCCCCGGAGGTGGGTCTCCAGGGGACAGGGCGGCTGTGGCCCCTCTTACCTGTGGGTTGGTCACAGCTCCAGCTCCCCTGTGCCACCCCCTCGGAGATGTCCCCGGTGTCGGGAGCAGGGGACTCTTCCGTCACGGCCACGGCATCGTCGTAGCCATCCGGGGGTCCGTGCTTGGGCAGGGCAGGGGTGTCTGGGACAGGCACGGGGGTGGACGGGAGTGAGCTGGAGGCCGTGGCAGGATCCTGGCTGTGCCACCCCCCCCCACTCCGGCCATGCCACCGGGGATGTCCTGGTGGCACTGGGGCCGTGAGCCCTCAGCCAGAGCCACAGCAGGGATTAATCAGCAGGGAAAGGTGCTGCTTTGCTGCACGCTAATGAGTTGAGCTGGGCTCGCCACACAACGGCAGGGGGGCCGTGCCCCCTTGGCTCCCCAGCCTGGCTACGTCCCCTCTCCCCGGTGGTCCCCACAGTGTTCCTGCCCCCGTGCCCCTACCTGGGGCCGCCTTGAGGTCACCCTCCTCCATGCTGTCCTCAGTGTAATACGGCAGCTTCGTCCCCGACCCCTCCAACAGGGAGCCTGGTGGGGGGAGGACGGGGTGTTGGGGGTGGCCGGAGCCGGCACCGTGGGCAGCACGGCCCCTCGCCGCAGAGCGAGGCCGCGGTGGGACCGGGGGACACCCCCGTGCCGCAGGCGTGAGCCTGTGCCGCACCACCGGGACCTGGTGCTGCGATGGGGCAGAGCCCCCCCGCTTCGGGGAGAGCTGCCAGGCACTGGGGAGGGGGGGCTGCACTGACCTGAGCGACTGGGCACCTCCTGGTACTCCGGCGTCAGGGGATAGTCGAGCTCCTCGTAGATGGCGTCGGAGACGGTGTCCGCGGCTCTGCCGCGACCTGAAACCACAGGCAGCGCTCACCCGGGGCCGAGGGGGTCACCCGCTGCCCACCCCCCTGAGCCACCCCACGGCAGAGGAACCCCCGGGACCCCCCCAAAGCGGCTCTGCCCCGGCCCCCACCTACCGGGGACCCACCTCTGCGCCGAACCCAGCCGCGGTACGCCTGCACGGCCAGGGCGCCCAGGGCCAGGCACAGCAGCAACCCCAGGACCACGCACAGGATCGTCGGCACCGGCACGGTCCGCGCCGCCGCCACCGCTGCCGGCGTGCTGCCGGTGGTGACAACTGCGGGGACATCGCCAGGCGGCATGAGGAGGGGGACCCCGGCCAGCCCGGCACGGGGGGGCTGCCAGGATGGGCAAAATCACCTGTGCAAGTGGCACCGTCCGGGCAGCGGCTCCGCGGGGACGGGGCGGGCGTCCCGCTCCTGCCCTCGCCGTCCTTATCACAAGCGACGTAGGCGTCCCTGCCGGAGCTGCAGGCCTGCAGGTGCCATGGTGCCGAAGGGCAGTGCCAGAGCGAACGGGCCCCCTTCTCGCAGCCCACCCAGGCCAACCAGGCAGGGACCGGATCCCGAGTGGGGTTGCCCACCAGCTTCCCCCCGTCCCCGCAGCCCAGCTGCCGGCAGGCGGCGGCGGCC